ACGCGAGAGAGGTCAAGGCCAAGTTCAGATTTTCAGTGGAACCAGGCGGGAAGTCAAGAGGGACTCCTCTGTCGGAAAATTTTGGCCTACTCTTCCTCGCCGGTCACGCGGCGCCGCCGTGGGGTGGGGGGGGGCAGCTCACGACCGGAAGGCTCTCGAAGCCCCCATTCGTCCCTCCGAGGCCGACAATCTGAGCGAAACTCTCTGGTGGTTGTGACCTCTCCACACCGTTTGTTCGGGGCTCATCGACGGAGTATTGCCACCGCCGATGCGGGCAGGAAATCGGTCGACGTCTTCAAAAAAAATAAAAACAATTTTAAACGTAAAGTTCGGTGGTGCGGTGGCGCGCCAACGGCCATGTCAGGGGGAGTGTCAACAAGCGGTGAAATTTCAGCGAAAGGAATGGAGCGAAGGGCGATGCTAAAAATGAAAAAGCAGGACCCGCGGTACAGGCACGGTCCCCGCTGCGCTTGTGACATCGCTCCCCCCCCCCACCCACACACAAACACACCGGACTGGAAATCAAGCACGACGCAGATGGCGCTGAACGTATTAACATGGGTGGGTGGTGGGGGGTCGTCTATTCCCGGCTGGTGGCGCACGACCGAGGGAAGGGGGGAGCGCGGCGTGGAGGGGGAAGCGACGGTGGTGGGGTGGCTGTGACGCAGGCGAACGCGGAGGTTTAAAAGGCTCTACAAACACGCTGATTTAATGAACCCCGTGGGGAGAGGCTCGCGTTTGGGAGAAGCTTCCCAACACACCACCCATCCCATCACCCCCCCACCAAGCGGTTCCTGGGCGTTTTGGTTCAAGTGAAAAAAATTCCGCAGCGATCTTTGATGTTGCCTCGCTTCCCTGCGCGGTCTGCCCCCCCCCCCAACCCTCCCCCAACGTCCATGCGCCGCATTCTCAAAGCAAAAGCCCTTCTCTCTTACGTCCATTTTTTTCTCTCCGTCATATTTCACCCGTAATCTTTCTTCACGACTAAATACCATTGTGACTTATCAGCCCATTCTTACCCCACCGGCTTCGTGCCACGTGACCGAAGGAAATTCCATTCGGAACGTTCGCGGCGAGCAACGTGCATATGTGCGTGTGTACGTTGAACTTCTTTCGCACCGTACGTAGCCACCCGTGCTAATCGGAGGTGCGGGGGGAATGACAGCAAACGAAACACAAGAAGCAGTTCCAAAGAAATGAGTTTTCAATCTAGATTTAAAAGTGCATAGCTCCCAGTGGCTTCCACGTTGTGTCAGAGATCGACCTTCTGCAAGATGATGTTGCACGGAACGTCACCTATTACACTCGTTTTTCCTATTTACGGAAGTGCTTTCGACGTGTGTGTTAATTTTTTTGTGTATTTGGTCCTGCGCGGCGCAGCATCACAACGGCGGTTTGAATCACACGCGGTGATTTCTGGAGACTGGTCGATAGCCCCGTCGGAGTTGTATTCGCACAACACCAGGCGTTGTCTCGTCATTGTTGCTAACTTTTCATTTCTCCTCTCTCCCAATTCACGTCGTTGTCATCATTTGCATCCCTCGCAGAGCAGAGCAGAGCGAGCGTCAGGGAACGACCTCTCACGTGCCCGGCGGAGAGGGCTTGTCAATCAAACGTTCAGTCTTTGCAGTTATTGGGGTTGACAAGAAAATCCCCCCAATTTAACACGATGGGCGCACAGTCATTGCTGATCCGATCGAGGCCATCAACTCGCTACACGCTGAGCATGGTTAAATCATAAGGTGGCAATGGACTGGGGCATTGCAGGACCATCAGGGATGGTGACATGCTGAGAAGGGGGGTGGGAGGCCTTCATCCTGAGCACAGGCCATGAGGCCCAACATACCAAGCGGCCAGTGACAAAATCCACCATGGAAGTTGTGACGTACAAAGCGTCAGTTAACACGTTCGATTTGGTGATGTCCTCGACATCAGCAACACACTGAAAGGGGTCTCACGAACGGTATTTGTGAGATCGGTATGGCAGGTGTTGTGCTTCATTAATTCCCCGACTCCAATTGCCAGCCGCCCTGTAGCAGGAATCTAACCTGTGCATGTATTCCCGGCTGAGTAGCAAGCTGAGACGAACAAAAAGGCCACGTGGCATATACGCACATATTTATTTATTTTTCTTAACCTGAAATAATTTACTGGGTTGTGCATGCCCTGGGTCCGTTGTCTTGTTTAAACAGCAGCGGGCTTGGTGACAACATGAAGCCATGTGTTGTTACAGATAGATATAATTTCGGAGGACGCTTGTGAATAACATTTGTTCTGCACACCGTGGTCTGTGCGCGTGTGTGTGTGTGCCAAGCCGTATTTTATTTAAGGCTGCGGTTGGTCATCTGAATCCCACTTCTCTGCAGAGATTGTTGGTCTGGGGTGCAATTCCATGGAGACTGCTGCGGAATTAATTAGATTTAAGGCACGAGCCAAATTTATCCCGCTGCTCGGTTGAAACAATGGTGCCGCTCTTTTTTTGTGCTGTAGACCTTGAGCTAAAAGGCAAAAAAAAAATCTGCATTGCCATGATGGGGACGACGGGGCCTATTCTCTTGCGCATGACGACAACGGTTGGCTTCCCATTCACCGGTGCTCATTTTATTGGCCGTACCGGTGTGATGATTTGGTTTAGGTTTATTTTTTGGCACAGGTAAAACCCACTGGGCAATAAATGCTCATGGTTTTTTTTTTGTACGGGGGGACACAGGAAAAGAAACCTGGTTCCAGCACAAAAAAAAGGTGGACGTAACAATCCAAAAAACGACCGTGCAAGGTCAAGTTCCAAAGTGACAAGGTCGTGCGTCAACATGGCATGGTGGTCGGTGCTCGACGCTAAAAAACCTCGGCGACACTGAGTTTAATTCTTGGCCGCGGCTTTTACATCAGTTAGTGAGCAATGCCTGAAAGAGTTCCGGGCACCCCTTTCACCAACCTGCTCTGAAGAGAATGGTCAAACCACCCCCCGATCATCGACAAGGGGTGGTCTTTATCCCAGTAGTTGCCTGACACAAGGCGGCATGTGTACAATAGTAGTTTGCACACTGCGCTACGCCTTCTGCTGCACAGCTTCGATTCCTGCTCACGTTGGGCGACGGTGGCTATGCACGAGGTCTGTAATCCAGCATACCCTGCCTACCCAGGAGAGGGCAGTACAGCAGGTGAACTAATCGCCATCCGTTTACATCCGTACGGGGATCGGGGAGTTGCCTCCCCCCCCCCCCCCCCCTCCGGGTGCTCCGCTTTCCTCCCACTTGTATAATGAACACTCGTCGTTAATTGGCTGACGTCATCTAAAAATAAAAAAAACAATTCAGGACCCTCGTGAAAAAGTCCCATGATTCAGTGTGGATTTCCTGGATAAATAGGCCAAAAAAGTGCAACATCAGGTCCTCAGCTCAGCCAATTAAGCTTAAAACAATGACCAGGTGCTGGCCACACCACCCTCTTCATTGTATGTATGGCGAACTTCTTTCACACCGCACGTAGCCAACCGTGCTAGTCGGAGGCGCGGGGGAAGGACAAACTAAATTAAACACATCGCCAAGCCTGCGTTGATGTGTGGCTCACGCGTGCACCTGCTGACGCTCTGCGGGCTAGGCGGAGGCTCTTGACCGTTTCTCTTTGTTTCAAAAGGCGATTTGTGCCTCCAAACCAGAGGTCGCAAACGGGTTTTGATTCCTTACCCGTACCCGTACCCGGCCGCACCAGGGTCGCAAATGGGTACCCGTACCCGGCCGGGTACGGTTACTCGTTCCCTACCCGTACCCGTACCCTACCCGAAATGAGTGACAAACGGTTACTCACCAGTGACTCACGGCCTACCCGTACCCGGCCGCACCAGGGTCGCAAACGGGTACCCGTACCCGGCCGGGTACGGGTAGCCAGGTATCGGGTAGGGTACGGGTATCGGGTACCCGGTTTCGTCCTCTGCTCCAAACTGGCCATCCCGTTTGGTGGTCCCCGAGTCCAGTGGTGGAAATTCCACATTCCTGAGCAATGGCCGGTCTTTCCATGGGGAAGACCGCCGTGGACTTTTCTCACACAAAGTGATCCTGATCAGGACGATGGTTACCCTGACGGAGCTCCAAATGCACGCGCGTGAACAAAAATTATTGTACGGGACCTTTTTTTTGCTTGTTGCCAGGACCAAAAAATGTATCCCATAGATAAATGACTGCTCAACCCGAGCTATTCTCTGGTCTGACACTGGTGGGACAAGACCATGAAGAAGGCTGTCTCTGGCGTAGGCTAATCAGTCTCAACGACAATGCGTATTATCAAATGATGATTGTTTGCATGCTTTACCCCAAGTACGTGTGGTGAATGCAAAGTTGATTCCTTGCAAAAGGTTTCTATTCGGTGTTTGAGCATCTTGCCACCCGCTGCTTTATTACCAGAAAGGGTAAAACCTATTCTTATTTTTGATACAATGATTCTTATTTTTTGTGATTTTTTTTTATTCTGACGATGCGCGAGCAATAAAAATGTAAAGGGGGGAGGGGGGGCAAAGAAAATGTGGGGGGGGGGGGGGGGGGCAGAAGCCCGAAACGCAGCGCTCGCACGGCTTGGAGGGCCAGGGAGAGACGTGAGATGGGAAAAAAGGTTGGTAGCTGGCGGGCGGCGTTAAGAATAACACTGCGTAACAATAAAAAAATGTGTTCATGCGTAGTAAGTGTTATTTCCTAATTGCTTATGCCTCAAAAGTATAGAAAATTTATAACATCCCCACAAACTTTGCTTTTGTGACCAGGACAATGATATTTAGAAATGTACCTATTTTCAATGAGAAAACGTGTGCATTTGTGTCTTTCGTTCATAAAAGCAACGTTTGTGGGGAACAATAGCCATTTTATATACTTTTTAGGCATAAGCAATTCAAAAATAACACTTAGTACCCAGGAACAAAAATTGAGTTAAATAGTGTAATTATATATCTAATTCACTTTCTACAAATGTCACACCACAATACCGCGTGTTGTGCATGTCGTTTGTTGCAGGAATCGTACGTTTGGAAGAAGTACCAGGAGAGATGCTGGGAGTTTTTCCCCGTCGGCGATTGTTTCCGCAAGCAGTACGAAGATCTGCTCGGATGAGCCGAAAATCCCAGGGATTTCCATCTTTTCATTATTATTTTCTATCCTTTTGTCTCTCTCTCTCTCTGCCTTCGTGCAATGCAAACAAGACTCTTTGAAAAGGCACGATTGAAAGCAGTGTTACCTTTGTGATGTGTGACCCCTGACCCCCCCCCAAACCCTGGAGGCGCGCTCAACTTTAATATTGTGCGAAAAGACAAAAATGAAGAACACGACTCCGTAGTACTCTTAGTTTTTTCGGTAAAGTCACGTAGGTAAAAAATGAAATAAAAATTAATAATAATAAAATAATAAAAAATCACGACGTTTCGGAGGCAACACAAGTCTCCGTCATCAGGTGGGACCGTCGTGATTTTTATTATTATTTAATTTATATTATTTTTATTTAATTTTTTTACCTACGTGACTTTGCCTAAAAAACTAAGAACACGACTCCGCAGGTTTATTCTCGGACGTACCGCGTCCTCTCCGATGCTTCTTCGGTTTGTACCACGTGTTGCTCGGCACGATGTCCGACGTTTCGCTCCACGAACTGAATTTTCTTTTAGCCCCCGCCCTCCCCCCCCCCCGCAGGCACGTGGAGCAAAACGTCGGACGTCGTGCCGAGCAACTCGCGGTGCACCCAGAAAAAGCGTCGGACATGTGACAATTATTATTATGCGTAATTTTGCATTCAGAAACTGAATATGCATATGAGCATCATCCATGTGTGTTTGCACATACTGTACCTATACAAATGTTAACGTGTTACGATCCCGTAACATGGTGTTTGATTGATCAATCATGGAGGCATAAGGATGATAGGTTGAACGAATTGATCTCTCACTTGGATTTGAACTCACAGCCTACCAAAACCGTGGCTCAATCTTCCGACGGCGTTGGTTGAACCTGACGCACACCCTGCACCCGTTCATGTCAACAAGTTCGCCTGCAGTGTTACCAAGTCATTGGGCTTCGCTATGTTTGCAAGATGGACAAAAGCGGCATATAAGCACACCGAATATAGCAAAGCCCTGCCACCTCTTGCCACAGACATCTGGCTCAGGCAACTCTGCAGAGCCACGTCGATTTGAGGCCCTTCTTGCCAGCAGTTGTGCAAGCACACCAATGCAAGGCTTCTCTACCATTACCTTCAACGTACAAAACACGGTTCTGATATAAGCAAGCCACTCGTAGGTTACACTGGTGTGGGGAAGGCAAAGGGAAATTTCTGGATGCAAGGACACTTCGGATATAAGTCCACCTGGACTCGCTGCCTATTCAAAAGTGAAAAGTGATTTCCTGCTCGTGTGAGCATTTAAGTCAGCGCTCAACCTCCTATTGACAGTGCTGAGTCAGTGGTGGTAAAAATCGACATTACTAGTGCAGGGGTGAGTCTTACCGATAGGATGATCGCTGTTGGCTTCACCACAAGGTGATTACCTCATTTTATGAACCCTGTAGGGATGATGGGCTGAATGATCCCCCGACCAGGATTCTGACTCAGCATCCTGATTGCGAGCCGTTCGCCCTGCCGCTGAGCCGGCTTGCTCCCAAGGACTGTGCTTAATATTCCAGCTACTAATTTGCTAAATACATGATCGTCGTGTTAGCTGCCTCCGATCAGCACGGTTGACTACGTACGGCGCAAAAGAAGTTTCAACATGCATATGGACATCTGTAGGCATCCGGTACATGTTTCAAACGAATGACCAGTGCTTATTTTCTTCTTTATCCTCCTGCCAAGTGGAGTGTTAACCCAGCCAGTAAAAAAATCTACTCGGGGGACTCAAAATGAATAATGAAAGTCTCCCTATTGTGTGTGTGGTGGCGAAACCCATTGACCACGTGACTGACCACTTGCCCACGTGGAAGCGCTTGCACGCAGGGAAGGTTACGGGACGTCACAAGAGCGACTCCCGATGCCACCGATGGAACGGATTACCAACCAAAAATGCATTGGCAGGTTGCTTTTCAAAAAAAACACCGCACGAAAGACGGAGAGAGAGAGCGCGAGAGACGAGGGCACTCGCATGCCGAGGTGCGTTTGTGATCAGGCCAGCGGGCGTTGTCAGTCAGTGTCGCGCGATCCATCCGCCCATCGATCGTCGTTCGCGTTGGAAACGAACGCACTCGCATTCATAAAAAAGGAGGGCTGCGGTTAAGCAAATCTCAGCCCAACGGAACATTGACCGAGACGCGACGCGTTTTGGCGCTGATACTGTGGCGCCAATGTTTGGTTTGGCACGGAAAAAAATTTACCCGTAAAAACAAGTTTTTCACTATAAATCCTTTATATGCGTGGCGGCTAGAGTCCTCTCGTCCTCTGGCTTGAGATGGCTGCCACCTATGGGTCAGATGATTGCCTGCCACTATTAAGCAATTGGTAATTAAATATAATTTTTCCTAAAAAGTGTGAAATTTAGGGAAAAATTTTTTACGAAAATAAATTGTCACGCACAACGAGTATGTGTGCAAAATGTCAGCTCGATTGGATCACGGGAAGTGGGTTAAAAAACGACCGAAAGATTTGCATGGTCGTAAGCGTGCAAGCAAGTAAGCAAGTGAACTTAATATAAAGGATTTAAAAATAGATTTGCCGCGATTTTGGTCTGCGGTTGACGGCTAGAGACAATTGTATGAGATCTCCGCCACCTCGTCTGGCGTTGAAGCTGGGAAATCCTCGATGTTTCTGTTTCTCTAACATCAGGAAGAACCCGGCCACCTCTGTTCAATTGCTGACACGAATTGTCTTTGTTGACAATATATAACAATACATTGCGCTGTGAAACTCTTCCGGGGCGTTACGAAAGTTTATTCACAACTTCCTTGGCCAGGCCGTGCGCAACACTTTTAATAAATAATGCAACGCTTAAAAACATGAACATTGTTCTCTAACAAATTATTTTGTGGAAGGAAAACAAACGAGATTGGATATTGCCTGATGCACATAGTTTTTGAGTGGGTAAATGAATGTTCGTCTGTGCCAAATGCATTTTTGCTGAAAAGTATATTTCAACTTTATTTTTTAAATGCTCAAAAAAGTGCTTATTTTCAAAATAATTTTCATTAACCTCTACCCGCTCCCGGAATTTTTTTTATGGTAAAAGTTTTTAAAATTACGAGTCTTTTTTTAATATTTAAACGTTGAGATCGTGAACATTTTATTTGAATTAATAACTATTTCACAGTCTCAATTTAATGCAAAACATGATATAACATTTTCTTTAAAAGGTTGGATTTAAAAACAGACCTATCCTTACCTCCAGTTCTGCACTGGGGCCTTTTTTAATGACTAGATTTGTCAAACCAAAAATGTGGTTATTTTAAAGGCTCTTAACTAAACAATACTACCGCATAGGTTTTAATAGTTGTAGCTGCATAGCTCTCTGATGTGATTTTTTTAAGCTCTAAATAAATTAGCCAATATTGACTACTGCAACGACTGGAACCAGAATGACAACGTCCCTTGATCGGCCTTAGTCCCGTGAATAATGAAATAGCTGTACGGGAATGTGTGTAGTTATCCAAAGATGCCCTCTTACTTTTTTAGGTGTTGCAAAGCGAAGTCAATCGTCAGGTTTGACATTTAATTTTCAAGAGCGAATTACTTTCAATACGCCGGTTTGGGTTCTTTGAGTCGCGGTGGTGCGGTGGTTAGCACAATGCGTGAAATGTAACCCAGTGACCTGAATCCCGAACACTTCCCCCTTCACCAGCATGTACTAGCCATTCTAGATTTGAAGCTTCCGTGACTGCAAGGATTCATACTCTTAGTTTTTTCGGTAAAGTCACGTAGGTAAAAAAATGAAATAAAAATTAATAAAAAAATAAAACAATTAATAAAAATCACGACGTTTCGGAGGCAACACAAGTCTCCGTCATCTGGTGGGACTGTCACAGCCAGATTTGCTGTATCAAGTATATCACTTATTAATTTCATTTTTTACCTACGTGACTTTACCGAAAAAAACAAGAGTATGTACTAGCCAGCATGGTGAAGTATGGTCAAAAACGACTCTGCTCAACACAGAATGGGGGGGGGGGGGACCAATCATCCAACAGTGGCTTGACAATCTGCCATGAATTGAAACGAGCCGACTTCGTCTCGACTTTAGCCAACCTATGCCGTTGTCTAAGAGACTTTGTACTTTTTGATAAAACAAGAACATTGATTCAATTTGTCATAGCACAATGTTATGAACTACCGTGATAGTCCTCAGGCAAATTGTTAGTGAATTACTACAAACGATGGACTTGTTATTCTTTGACAAATATCCGGTACATGTTTGTATGTACGTGTGATATGTTATTCTGGGTGGCTATGCAGCTGCTGATATGTTTGAAAATCAAAAGCTTACTCGTCACCGTCATATTAATTTTATATCCGCCAACTGTTGGTGTGTTTTCTTTTTGCGAGCGAATGTAGAACGCTGTGACATTTGTGCTCTTCCCGCATGCCTTGAACCCCTCTTTACTAATCCCCCCGCCTGCCGACCAGCGTTTCTATAACAACTCTAACAAAAACTAAAATCGAGGAATGTGTTGTTACGACCAGTGTAGTTAATAGTTTTTTTTTTTTGCTCAAATTCCCAGCTGTTAATTATCTTCTTTGGCCTTGCTTTTAAATTATAATTGAGATTTATTTGAAGTTTCCCCCTCCCCCCCATCCCTTTATTTTTTTGTGCTGTTGAATATAAAGTATATTTTACAATTGACAAACGTTTTAATTTATTTTACGGTTAAGACAATGACAGTATTCATTCGGACAATTTCCCTCACGGCAAACGATTGTGTATTGTGAATACCAGGCCCCTGATTTCATAACCGACAGCATTGGCAAGGCCCTGCGCCGACAAGGCGCACTGAGAGCGTGAATAAACCGTTCATCTTAAAAGTTAGACGTCTAATTGTTGCGCGCTTCGCAAAAAAAACGGATGAATTATTGTCGGCAAAGGTCTGCTTATTCACACATACACGGATGGGTTTGCTGTTGAGCAAAATGTTAGAACATTTTTTGACATATGTGGCCTTGTGCACTAAACCTGGACTGTTGAACTTGGCAATGTGAATACACAATAAAGCGTGTGAAATTTCAAATGATTTCAGTGTAATTTCTATGCTTTGTGATTCGAAAATGTTGAAATTGGATGCTGCTGCGGTGGTGTAATGATTATAGCACGCTGGACTTGCAATCCAGAGTTCCCGCCTGGATCTTCTGATTCTGCAGTTAAATAAGATGGCCAAGTTTCTCTCCACCCCTGCAGTGTAAAATGGTTCCAGCGGTGATGAGATGTTAACTACCTCGCCTGATATACAGGAAGTCGTTGGTTCGATCCTGACCCTAACGCCTGTGTATTTGGAGTTTGTTGCGTAGGTTTTGCTCCAGGTCCTCTGGCTTTTCCCTCCAAGTTTAGAAATATGCGTTTAGCGTATGGTATTTGGTTGCTATAAATGTCCACGTGTGATAAGCCACTTCGTTGAGCTATCATTTGTGGGCAGGTCGCTTCTTACAAACACCATATAGCTCAGTGGGCCTTACATGGTAAAATAAAACACAAAAAGGTGTCAGTTTTGTTGCCAGATAGAAGGGTAAAAAACCAATTATCATATTTTTTACTGGCAAATGAGGTTACAATGGTGTAAATGCTTACCCCGAGCTCTCATACTCTGATGGTGCATTGTCTTTGAGTTGTGCGCCTTTTGGCGTCATCTGGTCCAACACCATGTGAGACTAGGCTCTAAGGAAAGCTGTCTCGGGTGTGGACCAATCAACTTCAAGGACCGTGCATACATTATTAGAGTTATGTTTTTTGTTTGTATTATGGTCTATGCAAACATGACTCCTTGTAAAAAAGGTGTCAGTTTTGTTGCCAGATAAAAGGGTAAAAAAACAATTATCAAAACATTGTTTAGTTTATATTTTTTTAAAATGTTTAGCTTCATACCGCAGTTTGTCAGGTCACATATGATTGGGTAAAATAGAGGCATTGCCACCTCTTCCAAGACGCCTGGACAGCGTGGGAGATTCAGCCAAAATGCCCTCCGGAGGAAGCTTTCCGTACAGGCCCTTCTGCCAGCAGGGCCGTGGAGCCTGGAGGCACAATGGGCAGGGCCATCCCCACCGTGACCGCAATTTGAAGTCACTACCTTGCTTCCCCGAGTGTAAATGTTGTGGATTTACTCTACACCTGTGTCGTGAACTAATAACTGATTGGCGTATTTTGTTTGACGCGACAAACCCACACTAATTGGTTGTGTCGGGGTGGTGGTGGTGGGTTAACGAAACAGTAATACACAGCTGACAATACCCGGGACTTTTAACGTCCCTTGGAGACTTTGCAGGATTTTCCATGGACAGCCCACCTGCAAAAAAAAATAAAAGAGTTCGTCTTGGAAAAAAAAGACAGGACAGGTGGCAAACCCGAGGCAATGAATTGGACTAAATAATTAAACAAAAGTTCCGACATATTGACGAGCGGACAACAGGTGGGAAATTGCATTTGGATTCTGGGACGTTAAGGAGACCTTGTGAGACTGGAATGAGATGAGAGTGATGATATAAAGCAAGGTAATGGGAGTGATAGCAAAGGAGATACAGAGCGGAATTGAGAGGTGAATTAGCTATCTGCTTTGTCGTGCCCGTGGAAGAGGAAGTGCAAACCCCCATGCCCCTACCTTTACCCTTTGAGCCTGTGCATTTGTAAATCTACATATAAATCAATGCTGCAATGGGGTTATCATAATTTCCCTCTGCAACTACGTATGGAAATCTGGCCAGATGGTGACGCAGTTAGAGCATGCCACTGACAATCAGGATGCAAATTCAAATCCCAGTCAGGCGTAAACTCAGCCCCGCGTCCCTCTAAATAACGAATCAAAGCAATAATTTACTACCCTTTGTCAATCCACCGCAGAATGAGGTCTGCTGTGCCGGTTCATGAGGTTGTTTGACCATACTTCACCATGTCATCCGTGTGGGTTGGTGAAGGGCAAGCCCAAGGTTGATTCAGATATCACTCCGCCAATGATGTTAGCCATGCCCGGAAATCTAATTCGGGTCACTGGATTTATAGCACAGTGTCCTAACCACTGCACCACTGCTCCCACAATTAAATTATTACGTAATAATAAATATATATCCCTTAGCTACTTAGCATTCAACACATACCTTCCCATCCCCTGTCACTGTTGTCAAAGGGAGAAACTTTGCTCAGGCCTCAATTGAAGCCAATGTTCTCATAAATGCGTCTGTCAAACTTTCTTTCTTTGAAGGCGCCTTTATTAAAACCAAAAGCTTCCTCTGTTAAAACTTTAGAACCGTGCGATAAAATTATTAAGTCAATTTACAACCATACATTTGTAAAACTAATTTAAAATTCACATGTAAATACCGGGCGAATCATAAAGTAAAAACAAGCCCCTCTGATTGGTTACTTGACGGTGCCTGAAAGGGGATTGGTTAGAGGCGGAGACATTGATGGGCATTGGAGGTAGATATACAAAAAACGGAAAGAGCGGGAAACGGACGATGATTGACAGGGAGGTCGGTTGGGATCGGTTAGGGAAAGTGGGAAGGTGATTGGCTGGAGGGAAAGTGGCTCAAGGAACCTTCGGGAAAGGGGCTTGAGGGATGTTTCAGGCGGGAGACGCTTGGAATGAAGGGAATCCTTGAAGACCCGTGTCTCGTACCTGAAGAAATAAAGACATATTATTGGTTCTTTCGGTAAAGTCACGTAGAAGGGAAATAATAAAATAATAAAACATAATAAAATAATTCTCATGACGTTTCGGCCACAACGCAAGCAGCCATCTTTCCCACCCCTCTCTCGGGCAGATCTGTCGACAACTTTTCAAATGCAACGCTCCCGACAGCAACGATATCCCGACTCTATCGCGACGTCGCGTCGTTTCATCCGGCCACACGTGGCCCCTGGTTTTTAGGTGCAGGAAGACTGACGTCAAAGTGTACGTATCCGGACAGGATCTGCCCTGAGATTTGACATCGGATATATACGCGCTTTGGAATGTACCGATGACGTGCTTAATCTTTCGAGTTTTACATTCACACGCTATCAGGCAATGACGTGCTTTGGACCCCCATTGGCCATCTGCACAACAAAGACCAGAGCTATGTTGCTTTCATTAAAAAAAAACACACGCATTTATCTTACCGAGACATTCAATAAAACTTGAACATAGCTTAATGAAGCTGACAAGCGCGTATATTGGTGAACCACGTACATTTTTCACGATGCTTACATGGAGAACAATGTAACATAATTTGCATGTGTTTGTAAAATGTAACCAAATACACAGTATATTGAATGTTGCCTCATTAGAATGTCTTAGAGGGAACTCTATATAGCTCTTCTGCCAGCAGTGGTCAGAGCAAGCATTTTATATTGGTAGGAACCTCCTGGTTACACCAGCCCACAGGAGATTATTGTGTCCGTCCGTCCGTCGTGCAGAGAGGGGCTGGGTGGGGAGGGAGGGGCTGGGTGGGGAGGGGAGGGTGGGGAGGGGCTGGGTGGGGAGGGAGGGGCTGGTCACCCCGTGGTGCCATTATAAAACTCAACGTTTAACCTACTCACGCCGGCTTGTGCCCGCCCTCACAGTCGGGCATATTTGCGGAATACACCACGCCGCCGTTGACCCTGGCCATTGACCAAGCAACCCAACGTTTCTACCAGCTCCCTCCGCAGGAATATGTTTTCATCACGTAAGGCCCACTGAGATATTTATTTTTATTTGAACAGGTAAGGTTCACTGAGCTATAGAGAGCTCTCTTTTCGAGGCAACATGGCCATCACAAATGATAGCTCAACGAAGTGGCTTATTGCATGGACATTTGTAGCAGCCAAAATACTATAAACGCATGTTGATTTTAAATTTGGAGGGGAAAAACCAGAGGACCCGGACAAAACTCCACGCGACCATGGGGAGAGAGACATGCAACCTTCAAATATAGAGGTGTCAGGGTCTGGATCGAAGCCATGACCTTCTGTAAACCAGGGGAGGTAGTTAAACGTCTCCTAGCCACCGTGGCGCCAAATTGCAGGGCTGCACCTTTTCCTGTCTTTATTGGAATGCCACTGACTGCCAGACGGATACAGGACAATTTAAATGCTTTCTCAATCGTATACATGAGAACTGGAAAATAATACTTGTACGAGAATGCAGAAGATTCGCCAACTTAAAAGATTACAACAATAAAACCATTTGCATCTGATTTCTCTCAAATAATTAGCGGTCACCAGTTGTTGAGGAAATAAACAAAAAACGTCCTCGTGAAGCCTTTCATTTACACATCTGTAGTGACATAGAATCAGTCACGTAGCAGCATAGCGCTGGCTGCTGGCAGAGAAGAGGATCTGCAGCTTACAGCAGCCCTGCCTGACAGCAGGTCACGTGATCGACCAGAGAGGGATCTAGGGGAAAGGTTACGGAAGGGGCACGTCGAGAACCCGCTCGTAGGTTCCAGAAGGGGGGCGTGGCCAGGGACTGGAGCCAGGCCACGCTGGCAGTATAAGAGGGGCCCCAGGAGGGGACCTCGGGGCTGTCGTGTGGAGTGGGATCTCGTCGTGCTGCTGTTGGAGTCTTCACCATCTCGGCGTCGCCAGTCAGGCAGTCTACCAGCTGCCCTGACTGGGAACCGTAGTTACCATATGTTAACTGTTGAGGCCGTATTCTTAGTTCTTTCGGTAAAGTCACGTAGAAGGGAATAATAAAATAATAAACATTCTTACGACGTTTCGACTGCAACACAAGCAATAATCATCAGTCGAAACGTTGTGAGAATTTTATTGTTTTATATATATATATTTTTCCCTTCTACGTGACTTTACCGAAAGAACTAAGAATATGAATCCCTGCAGTCACGAAAGCTTTAAATCAAAATTTGTTAAGGCCGTGTTAATATACAGAGTGCCTCCTACTCGTAGTGTCTCTGAGTCAGTCACTACACATACATGCGATCCATCAGGGGTTTATCTCGGTTGGATTGCATGAGTAGCTGCAAGACATAGGAGAGATCTGGACATAGTCCCATCAATGGGCTCGTTGCGCACGCAAGGATGCTTTTACTGGGTTGTATGTAA